CTGTGCAGGTGGCTGCCAGCTCCCATGGTGGCAGTGGGGTCCCACACGGTGACACTGGCCCTGGGTGGCTGCGGGACACTGGTGCTGGCCCTTCGCTATGCCTGGGCTGAGTGGCCCTGTGAGTACCAGTCCTGTGCCCTCTACAACACCCAGGGCCTGCCTGCACCCCCGTTCCTCCTGGAGACCCTGAGGAGCTCCAGCAGAGCTGGAGAGATGGAGCTGCTGCTCCTCCACCCAAGCTCCTTGCTGTCCTGGGGGATTTAGGGGCTCTCCCAAAGGATTTAGGGGCTGGTGGAGGGAGCTCAGGCCTCTCCGAGTGGCTCCAGGCTGCTGGCACAGTGCCTTCCCGATTCAGTGAGGCAGCTGGCTTGATTACAGCCTCCCTAATTAAACATCTCCAGCTCCTCTTTGGCCTGAAGTCAAGGCTGCAGGGGGGAAATACAGGCAATTTAAAAGGAAATTAATGAAGAATTATGTTAAGACAAGCAGCAGGATGGGAGCTGAACCCCTCCCTGCCATGGAGCTGGTCCTGGTCCCCCTGCCAGGGACATGGGGTGCTGACCCCCATAGGAGGGTGCTCACAGGGTCTTGGATGAGCCTGTGGTGGGACCACAACCAAAGGGTCAGACTGGGGCTGGGACATCGAGCTGCAGAGGTGCCTTCTACCTCCTGCTGTTAATAAAGAGTTAATAAACCAGCTCGAGTTATTCCTGGATCCTTCTTTTCCTTCAGAGGAGCATCCTTTAAGTGCTCCATTCCCACCCTCCTGCTGCATTACCAGGAAAATGTGGCACCCAGCACTTGGATTAAGACATCTGAGAGTGGCTCTTTACCCTCACAGGGAAGAACTTCCTCCCAGTAGCTCAATCTAAATCTTCCCTTAACCCTTTTTTGCTGGAAAACCGTAAGGGGGATCCCAAACACAGGAATAACGCGGGGGAGCTCAGCCCCGCCGCTGCTGTCACGTTACAGACATCACCTCACCAGGCTGTCTTCAAACCAGAGTTTAATGTGCTCGAGGAATGCTGGCAATAAGGAACTGAATCCACCTGGATCCCAGCTGCTCTGCCTGCAGCCTGCTCTTGGGGTCAGGCAGAGCCGAGTGAATCCCGGGAGGCTTTTCCCATTGCTTCCACTCCAGGCTTCATTTCTAGACAAAGAGGAGGAAGTTAGTTATTGGGGTGATCACAAACTGGGGTCTTGGGCTTCCACCACCAGTGTGCCAGTAGCCCAAGAGCCAGTTGTACTAGCCGCATGGTTGCCACGCCAACGAGGATGCTAAATACAGCAATCTGGGGGGTTTTGGTGGTTTTCTCTTTGGAAACCAAAACGCCCAGGGCCAGGAAAGGAGCCCAGGCCTCCTGGCTCCCATCCTGCCGGGATGAGACAGGATGATCTGTCTCCCAGAGCCTAGAAACCACTGCTGGGGGGGGTCAGGTTTTGCCCGGAGCTTGGATTGAAGTGCCAAACTCTCCGCTTTCTGTTCCTATAGCAACTCCTGCCCACGCGTGGGCTCGCAGTAGCATCACATCCCGGCTGCCAGAGCCCATTCCTGGCTGGAAACGGAGTTCTCAGCCCCACAAATCCCTCCCAAAACCTGAAGGGCTTGGCCAAAGGGTTTAGGGCCTTAGTGGTGGATGGATCCAGCCTCATCCCCAGGGCAGGATCTTGCATGTGGGAGCCAAGAGGAAAGTGAAGAAGTCATCTACCACCAAATCCTACCTGGGGCCCTGCCGTTGGACTGTGGTGTGCTGCCATCAGGGGCACAAGCGTGGTGTTTGGGCTTGGTGGTCTCCAGCCCTGCCAGCAGCGTCATGAAGTCGATGACAGTGTCGATGTCCTCCTTGTTGGTGGTGGCTTCCCTCAGGGCGCTGACAGCATTGAGGCGGCTGAAGGACGTCAGCTTGGAGATGTTGGCACGGAGGAAGAGGAGGATGACATTGAGGTCGTTGACGGGGCAGGTGAGCATCTTGCGGCTGAGCAGGTCGAAGGCTGGCAGCATCTCATAGACAGAGAGCAGCCCCTTGTCCCACTGGCAGAGCTGCAGGGCGTTGTAGATGACCACAGGTATGAGGAGGACATAGACACCACCAACTGAGAGGCTGATGAGCTGGAAGATGGAGAAGAAGACCAGCTTGCAGGGGATGAGTGGCGGGATGTGGGGCTCCACCTGGAGCAGTCCTGTTTTGATGGAGCAGTTGAACTCATCCTGAAAGAAGATGTTGAGGTGGAGGAAGACCAGGTAGAGGCAGGTGGCAGCCAAGAACACGAGCAGCAGCAGGTTCCTCAGGATGTAGATGAACACCAGGGAGTGAGCGCGCTGCTTGCAGGTCAGGTAGCGCTCCAGCAACGGGAACTCAAAATACCTCTCCTGGCGGGCCCTGGGGACACAGAGGGGAGTTAGAGCCATTCCCCAACCAAATCCCTTCACCAAAGCCCATCCTGAATGTGGCCACAGCCACAACACCATGTGGACAAACATCAGTGGGATGTGCAGGCTTCCCCAGGGCCTCACCTCTCGTACTCCTCCCAGAAGCGCTCGGGCTCGGCGCTGTCCTGCTGCACCTTCCTCATGTGCTGCACCAGGCGCACGGAGCGGTTGTAGGACTTGTCCAGCTCATCAATGATGAAGACGAGGTCGGAGTGGAGGGCAGGGGCGGCTGTGTAACGCCACAGCAGGTACGGCAGGTACATGAGCACCGCCACCACCAGCAGCGAGTAGGGGAAGACCTGGGGGAAAGGAGATAAGCAGAGCAGTTGCTTCAGCTCTGCTGCACACCCAGGTGGGACCTGAGGGCACCCAGATGTGAGCTGGACATGTACCTTGAGAGCCCACAGGGATTTGGTGACAGCGTGTCCCTCGGTGTCCAAGCCATGGTGGACAAGGGAGTCCCAGCAAGCCGTGTCGACATAGGCTGACTGCTTCCCAGTGAAGTTGGTGGGGGAGAAGCAGCTGATCTGTGAGCCTGGGGTGAGCAGAAGAGTGAACCTCAGCCATGGGGGTCCAGGGAGGGTGATTACATCTCAGGCATTACTTGGAATTACAAAACCCCCTTTTTCCGAGTCATTCTGTAGCTGTCCTTCCCCACTGCTGCATTTTTCATCACTTCCCAAACACAGACTCTTTGAGCACTGTGGGGCAGTTAGAAAGCAGCCAGAAACCAAAGTCAAACCAAACCCTCACAGGCAGCAGCAGGACATTGGCCAAGGCCAGATTTAGCCTGAGGTCACAACGCTCCATCAATGAAACCCTTTGTGCTGTCCTTCAGTGTTCAAAGCCAGGTTGGACAGGGCTTGGAGCAACCTGGTCTAGTGGAAGGTGTCCCTGCCTGTGGATGAGCTTTAAGGTCCCTTCCAACCCACACCAGTCTGTGATTCATCCTATGATTCCTGTGGGATGTATTCTCTGAGCTGCCCTGCCACCACCCTCCTCCTCCTCACCAGCAACACCCAAAGGTGCTGGGGGCAAGCAGCTGAGGTGGGGCATTGATCTACCACTGGTGCTGGGGTTTAGCACGGCTGTTCCCAGCTTCCCCAGCAACCAATAATGCATTAAAACCAATCAATACACATCCCTGAGGCAGAATGATTCCTAAACCAGCATTTCCAGGCTGCCCCACCTCGGACCACAGCCACATCGCTGAGACCACAAGCGTTTCCCAGCGACAACCAAACCGTATCCTGAAGATTCCCATTCAAAAACCAGGACTCACCAGCAGAGAACTCCTGGGCGAAAGCGAGGGAGACGAGGAAGAGGGGCAGCCCCACAGTGATGAACTTCAGGAGGCGATCGCTGGGCAGCTCCAGCCGCAGGCCCTTGGATCGGGATCCACCGGGATCTGGGAGGAGAGCATCGGAGAGCATGTACTCAGCGGCTGTGTGTGAGAGGGACATCTTTGTATGGAGGAAGAGGAGACGATGGTGCTGCTGCTGCTGCTGCTGCCTGGGGGCTCTGGTGTCGTTCGAGGTGTGCCCAGCTCAAGGAGTGGCTTTGTAGGGCTGGAGGCATCTCTTGCCAAGCCATCCCTACCAGGCAGCTGGGATGAGAGCTCAGACACCGCCTTGAATCCACTGGTAATTACAGGGGGAAGCCTTTTCCCAAACAGCACATCCTGAAATAGAAAACAAAACCCCCAGGCAGCCGTGGCAGCAGGCTGGGAAGGCGGAATTCCAGCCCAGCTTTTTGTGGTTTTGCATCCCTCTCTCATAAGCAGATGTATTTCTGGGTGCTTTTGAGGAGGGTGGGGGGTCCTCAGCTATTTTTTCCCACTTGAAGCACAGGGTTGCAGGGCACAAGGTGTTACCCTACTGAGACACCCCAACAAGGTATGCGGTAGCCCCACAGGCGACAAAGAGCCTTTTCCAGCACCTAAACCAACTTGTGCTTTGGGGACAGGCCAAGAGACACCAAATGCTGGTGCTGCCATTCCTCAGCTTTTCAATCTTGGGGCACAGGGGAAGGAATCTGGCTTTGAGGCAGCTCCCGAGGGAGAAGGATGCTGATAACGGGATCTAGAATCAACAGGGGAATTGGAAGGCGCAGAGGGACAGGAAAGTCTCTCCCAGCAGCATATTCTGTGCCCAAAAACCAGCACTGACACTGCAAAGGGAGTCCAGGAGCTGTGCAGCCAAGCCAAGCAGAGGAATTCCCAGCCCAGCCGCTGCCAAATTGCGCTTTCCATGGATTTTCCAAGGAAGGGACTCTCCAAATTGGAGCACAGAGTGCCAGGATAGGAAGGAGAAACTCTAAATGGCTCTGGAAGGCTGAGTGACAGTCCTCAAATGGGACTGCACCAATCAAACCTGCCAGGGACCAAGCACAGAGACACAAAGCCCTTCACCTTGGCACCAACAGGACCATTTATTGCTCAGAGACAAGTTCCAACCATGACAGGGCAAAGCCCAGTTTCTACACAGCCTCATTTGACCAAACTAGTGTCTCTTCAGTGTGCCCAGCTGCTTTCCTGCACCAAGTCAGGGCAAGAAGCACCCACAGGTACCTGGTAAGCAGCAGGGACTGTGGACTTCATCTCACCGCTGTCTCCAAGGTGGACTCTGCTGCCAAGCAGCAGGACGCAGCACTATACATGCCAGGGATGTGGAGATCCATGTCACCTCTCCCTTCCTGCCCTGTTAATCTTTGGCAAAGTCCAGCTCCAGGTTCCTCAGAGTCTTGTGGAAGAAGGGGGGTGGTTTGCAGACGAGGTCCAGCCGCTCGCCCAGGGGCAGGGAGAGCCGGTGGGCATGCAGGTGGAGCGGGAGGTGGCGAGCCTTGCTCTGCTCCAGCTTCAGCCTCTTCAAGGTGATTTTAGGAAGCTTCTGTGGTGAGGATAGAAAAGGTCCTTTCTATAACCCCAGCTCTTCGAAACCCCAGCCCACAGGGAGCTGGGAAACACACGGGCTGCTGCAAGTGGATCTGGCTCTGGCTGCCCACCCAGCACTGGACCTGCCTTACCTGAGGTGCCAACTTGCTCCAGTGGGAGTATTTGTGATCCCCCAGGATAGGGCAGCCCAAGCCATAGGCCAGGTGAACCCGGATCTGGTGCTTCACCCCTGAGGAGGAAAGCGAGAGAGGAGAAACATGACAACCAGCTGTGCCAGGCCTCAGCTCCCATCCACAACCCAGAGTGACCCAGCAGCAAACCAATGCCCAGGGATGGCTTATTAAAGTTGTGTAATGGTTTCTGTTGAAGGGACCTTAAAACTCATCCAGCTCCAACCCCTGCCACAGGCAGGGACACCTTCCACTACAGCAGGCTGCTCCAAGCCCCATCCAACCTGGCCTTGAACACTGTTGCCCCAGAGCTGGATAAGGGCTGCAGGGGGAGGGGGGCCTCCCCAGAGTGCAGCAGAGGGGGAGAATCCCCTCCTTTTACTGCTGCTCATGTGATTATTCCCAGACCCTTCCCAAACAGGATTCTCACTATGTAACAACAAGTTCCCACTTCCAGCACTGTTCTTGGCTGCGCAGCCACACAGAAAGCAGCTCACACGATGTGGGGCCACCCATCCAGGTCTCACCAGTGATGGGCTGGAGCTCCAGCAGCGAGCAGGCAGCAGAGCTGGCCAGGAGCCGGTACCGTGTCACGGCGCTCTCGGCGCTCCGGTTCCTCCGGGTTCTCACCACCTTCCCATCCTCTGGAGAAATGCGGTAGCTGGGGGCCAGTGTCCTCTGAGCAGTGACAACAGGGTGAGCCCATGGGGAGGCAAAGGAAAGAGCTGGGGACGGGGAGTGTGAGGCTGAGGGGATGTATGGCTCACCTTGTAGTGCGACTGGTGGCTCTGCACCTCCTTCTCCAAGATGGGGATGTCCACGATGCCCTCAGTGGGGTCTGGCTCCCCCAGGCTGATTGCCCTGGGGAGGGAAAGCAGAGGTCTGTGGGTGTTGCTCTAGCATGAAGGGATCCCTCCCCTCATCCCTTCTCCCTAAAGAGGTGGGTAAAGAAGACAAGCCACCACTTCAACAACACACCCTGGGGACGATCCCTTCACCTCTTTTTCAAACCCTACGGGCCCTTCAGAGCCACTTGTCCACCCAAACGTTTCCTACCAGTAAATCTTCTCCACCTGACGAGTCTTGAAGAGAAGCCGGATCCTGTCTGCTGCCTCTTTGCTCCGCGCCAGCACCATCACACCCGTGGTCTCCTTGTCCAGCCGGTGGCAGAGGTGGAGGGGTTCAGCCTTCATGTTCTCCAGCATCTTGGCCAAAATTGGCAGCACATCAGTGATACAATTCTTGATCCCAGGGCCACCTGCACAACCCATGGGCAAAGCAGTCAGGGGGAATGTTCACCTCCCATGTACTCTAAGTTACTCCCAGAACGTGAGATGGAGGCTGGGATCTAAAGGTGACATCCCTCCCAGTGCAGGGAGGCCATGGGGATGATAAGGGGGCTGGAACAGCTCTGCTCTGGAGCCAGGCTGAGAAAGTTGGGGCTGTTCAGCTTGGAGAAAAGAAGCTGCTTGGAGACCTCAGATCAGCTTCCAGAGTCTGAAGAGGGCTATAAGGATGCTGAGACTGTAGCAATAGGACAAGGGGTGATGGGTTCAAACTGAAACAAGGGAGACTGAGATGAACTCTTAGGCAGAAGCTCTTCCCTGTGAGGGTGCTGAGGCGCTGGCACAGGGTGCCCAGAGAAGCTGTGGCTGCCCCAACCCTGGCAGTGCTCAAAGCCAGGCTGGACACAGGGGTTGGAGCAAGCTGCTCTAGTGGAAGGGGTCCCTGCCTGTGGCAGGGGGTTGGAACTGGGTGAGCTTCAAGGTCCCTTCAAATCAAACCAATCTGTGATTCTATGATTGAGACAGGGGCTCCGCTGCCAATGCCATAGAGGCCACTGCCACCCCACGGCACCGCTGCAGACATGGCCAGCTGCCCCTCACCGTGCACAGGCAGCCCGTAGGGTTTGTTGATCACCACGATCTCCTCGTTTTGGTACACTGTTGCCTGCTTCAGCATTTTGGCCAGGACGTTGGGGTGAACGTGCTGCAGCCCCGCGCTCAGCATGGCCAGCTCCCGCACCCGCCTCTGCGCGGGGTCTCTAGGGACCTGAGGAGACAAGGAACCGAGAGCGCTGAGGGATAAACGGGCTCCGGGCTCCCACAGCGCCGGCCTGCACCGCACGTGTGACCGCGGTACACGCTAGCAGCTAGAGTCCCGCTCCTCAGGGCCCCGCCCCGCTCACCTCTCGCTGCTTTTCCTCCCTCTTCCGCTCTCGCAGCCGCTCCGCCAGATGCTCAGCTCGCACCGGCCCCTTCTTCTTCTCCTCCTCCTCCGCCGCCGCTGCTGCCCGCCTGCTGCCGCCACCGCAAAAGGTGCGCACCTCCCGGGCCAGGCCCGCCACGCTCCGCCGCAGCGCCCAGCCGCTGGCCGCCGCCATCTTTCTTCCTCCTTCTTCCTTCCCTTCGCCTTTTTACCTGCCAATGGCAGTAGCGCGGGGGCGGTCCTTCAGCCCGCTTGCCCAATCGGAAGGGGCCATCGAGCTGAGCGAGAGCTGTGCCGCCCAATGGTGTCGCTGCGCAGGGCGGCCTCAGCGGACGGGTCCGCCTCAGCTGCGGCGGTTTGAAGCGCGGCGGCGGTTGCTGCCGGTAACCGTCGCGAAGGGAGCACGGGAGCGGCCGGGCCCTCACAGGTACCGCGGGGAGGGGGGGGCCGGGCTGGGGTCGCCTCGGTGGTGTGAGGTGTTGTGAGGGGGCTGAGGCACCACCATTGCCCCCAGGGGGCACAGCCGCGTTCCTTGGCGTTCCACAGAACCATTAGGCTTGAAGAACCCCGTGGAGATCACCCAGCCCAAGGCCAGGCAGAGCAGGTCACAAATCCCTTGGTGGGATTTGGATGTCTCTATAGAGAGAGACTTCACACCCGCCCTGGGCAGCCTGTTCAGTGCTCTGACACCCTCAACGGGAAGAAGTACTTCCTCACGTTGAGGTGAAACTTGGTTTTAGTTTATGGCCGTTGCTCCTTGTCCTGTCACTGGGCACCACTGAAAACAGTCTGGCACCATCCTGCTGGCACCCACCATGGAGCTCTTGATCTGCATTGATGAGATCCCCTCTCAGGCTGCTCTTCTCCAGGAGCTCCCGCAATCTCTCCTCATCAGAGAGATGCTCCAGACCCCTGAGCATCCCTGTGGCCTCCACTGGAGCCTCTCCAGCAGCTCCTTGTCTTTCTTGCACTGAGGAGCCCAGAACCAGACACACACAAATGTGGCTTTACTTGATATTTATAAAAATAGCACTAGAAAATGGCATATTTTTACCAATTATATGAAAAGGCAAAGGGTTGAGATGCTCTCTTGCTGAGGTGACCCGTCACCATCACTCCATATCCACGCAGACCCGCTTGGGAGGCTGCTCTTGGACATCCCTGCTGTGGCTCCTCTTGCTCTCAGGGGGCTGCTGGTCCCTGTCCCCCTCCAGCTCCAGCCCGAGGGGGGACTGGATGCGGCCCCTCTGCACAAAGTGCTGGATACGGGCCTCCAGCCCCTCGCACTTGGGACGGGACAGCAAAGGCTTGTACGTGCGGGCTCGGACACCTTCCACAAAGCCACTGGCCTGGCGGCAGAGAGGGGGCTGCCGGGCTGCCCAGAGGATGGTGCTGCTGCTCTCCTCACCTGTGATGCAATGAAAACAACACCCGTGGTTTGAACAATCTACTTAATTCCCTCCTCTCTCCTTCAAAACCCATCCCTCTGTAATTCCATGATATTCATAGAATCATGGAATGGTTTGTGTTGGAAGGGACCTTAAAGATCATCCAGCTCCAACCCCCTGGCACAGGCAGGGACACCTTCCACTAGAGCAGGTTGCTCCAAGCCCCTGTGTCCAACCTGGCCTTGAACACTGCCAGGGATGGGCAGCCACAGCTTCTCTGGGCACCCTGTGCCAGCGCCTCAGCACCCTCACAGGGAAGAGCTTCTGCCTAAGAGCTCATCTCAGTCTCCCCTCGGGCAGGTTAAAGCCATTCCCCTTGGCCTGTCCCTACAGGCCCTTGTCCAAGGCCCCTCTCCAGGTTTCCTGGAGCCCCTTTAGGCACTGGAGCTGCTCTAAGGTTTCCCCTTAAGAAGCCTTCTCCAGGCTGACCCAGCCCAGCTCTCTCAGCCTGGCTCCAGAGCAGAGCTGCTCCAGCCCTCGCAGCATCTCCATGGCCTCCTCTGGCCTCACTCCAACAGTTCCACGTCCCTCTTGTGCTGCTGCCCCAGAGCTGGATCAGGACTGCAGGGGGGGTCTCCCCAGAGCGCAGCAGAGGGGCAGCATCCCCTCCCTGAGCTGCTCATGTGCTGGGGGTGCAGCCCAGCAGGTGGGGCATTCTGGACTCAAACTACCACTGAAGCTGCGTCATGGGGAGCTTCTCCTCCACCAACACCCAAAAGTGCTTCTCAGGGCTGCTCTGAACCACTTCTCCATCAAAACTGTGCCTGGGATTGCCCTGACCAAGATATTGCCACAAACCCATCCCTTACCTTTGCCTGTAGCCACGGGAGCAGCATCTAACCCCTGCAACATGCTGCGCAGCACTTGGGTTTTGACGGCATGGCTGGCCCAGAGCTGCTGCAGGTGTGTGACATTGAACTCCTGTACCTCCTGGTCGTAGAGCCACTGAATGTTCTCAAACTCACAGTCATACAGGACGAGAGGGAACTCTACTGCCATGCTGGGGAAGAGGAGGGAAGTGTTAGCTGTCACTGTCTGGAGGGATCTGTGACAGAAAAGGCTCACACAACACCCTGCCCTCTGCCAAAAGCAGCCATGTCTTTTACAGAACTCCCTTTGCCTTTAGAAACTGAATTAGCTTTTAGCAAATACCGTGGACTAAAGCCATAAAGTTTGTCTGAGAGCAACAAAACTGAGATCCTTATGGATACCTCCCGGAGAGGCCGCTGGCAGCTTGCTTCCATATTGTGAGAGACTGCTTTGCAGGCTGGCAGAGAATTGCCTTGCCAGCAGCACTTCACACACAGCCATCGCCTCAAGAAGCAGCCCAGCAAGTTTTCCCAAGCTTCCCATACCTGTACTGTGGCTTTTGAGGGTTCTTCTCCACATCCAGCAGCTCGTCAATGACCTCTGGGCTCTCCATCCCCTGGCCGATGAGGAAGAGGACGGCCATCATGCAGCGCACTTGGTGATAGAGGAACGCTTGGCCTGTCACCTCAAACTGGCACAGATGGAAGGGATCCTGCGGGCCTGTTCCTCCTCCTCCTTCAACCCATGTCACTCCAGCACTCAGGATCGTCCTCTGGAAGTTCACCACCCCGTTGGCAACGTCCATTTTGCAGAGATTACGGAAGTCATGCGTCCCCACATACCTCTGGGCCGCGGCGTGCATGAGCCCCACGTCCAGGTTGGCGCAGGGGAAGAAGTACCGGTAGGTCCTCTTGAGGCAGCTGAACCTGGCACTGAATTCAGGCTCCACGGGGGCCCAGGCCAGCACCCTGATGTCAGGTGGGAGCACCCTGTTCAGAATATGGGTGTAGCGGAGCTCCTCCTCGCTTTTCCCTTCTGAGGCACCCCTGTGGCCGTTGAGCTTCTGCCCCTCCAGCAGGTTGGAGCGGAGATCGAGGGAGATCACCTGCAAAACGAGGAATGCCAGGATGAAATGGCAGATGGGTGTATTCTGGGGAGCCAAGTCTTCCTACACCACTGTGAAATAAATTCAGGATCTCCTCCAGAGGAAGGTGTCTCAAATGGGGCCATCTCCCCACTCCTTCCTGCGGGAAGAGCTGCCTCTGCTCAGGTTCCCAGCAGATGCTACAGATTCCTTTAATAACACAGAAACTTGCAGGCTGCCTACGTAGCTCAAATCTGCTTCAACTTTAGGCCCTGGTTTTTGGATATAATGTGCTTTTTTATTATTTCACTTATTTTTTTTTTTGTCTGGAGGTGATGGTTTAAGGCAGTAACAGCCTGGCTGCCTGGGAAACCTGCTGTGGGAGCAAGTTAATGAACACTGCAGGTGCTTGCATGCTTCAAACAGCACAAGGAAAGCCGGCCCCTGCCCTATTCCATGTGGCTCATCCCATGAAGGAGAGCAGACAGCCCATCTGAAGCAAAAGCTGAGCTGGCTCCAATTCCCAAGCCAGGAGGGAAGGAGAGACTGGCCTGGCGGCGAAGCCATCGCTTCACTCCCTCCCTCTCCCACGCTCCCTTCCGCTCCAGCTACCCCCAGACCCTTCTGCGCAGGAATTGGGCTGCCTGGCTCCACAGGAAGAGATCCAATTCTTGGATTCGATTTCATTTTTTGTTAGGGTGAGCCAGTTAAATCAGCTGCCAGGGCTCTGCAAGGAAGGGGCATCTTCTCTTTCTTGGCTGTTGGGAAGCTGCAGCCTGAAAACCATGTTTCATCCTCTTAAAACAGCCCCCTGGAAAAAATAATGCTAATAAACATTCTGAGGGTCAAAAATCACCATCCTGTATGCAGGAAGCCAGCACCAGGCTCACTTTTAAAGCTTCTGGCTTTAAAGAAAAATAAATCCAACCCATGTCTTGGCTCATCACAGAAGACATTAATCCCACAGGAGCCCAGAAACCCAGGAAGAGCCCCAGCAGGGGAGGATACTGACCTGTCCAAACGCACTGACTCCTTTGTCCGTCCGCCCGCAGCGGTGGTAGTTGGATGTCTGCCTGTCATCTACCAGCCGTGTCTTCTTCAAGGCTTCAAAGAGCTTCTCCTCGATGGTGTTGGTGGTGTTCTCCTGGCTGGCAAAGCCCTGGTAGCCCCAGCCCAGGTAGGAGATCTTCAGTGCCACGTGTCTGCGGCCATAGGCTCCGAAATCAAACGGCCGTTGTTGGCGTTTCTTGCTCTTCCCTGGGGCTGATGGAGCCTCTTGTTTCCCAGCGCCCTCCTTATCCTCTCGCAGCTTCTCCCGCAGCCTCCTCACCTCCTCTTCCAGCTCCTGCACCCTTCTCAAGAGTTGATCCTGATCAGCAGCCGTGCTGCCCTCAGCCATAGTCCTGGAGCCTTCGGTAGCTGCTGGGGACTCCTCAGGTTCTGCAAAGAAGGAAATCACATTTTTACGTGGCTTTATCACATCTGTAACTTTGCTCTATGAAATAATCATTGCCCACGGAATTTATTGTTTTAACCTCTGTGTTCTGTGGGATCCAGCATTCCCAGCTGGCTTTGTGCTATCCACACCATGGTGGAGCCTTTTCCATTCCCCAGCACGCTGAGCCAGCACCACCACACCAGACAGCTCGCTAACACCTGCCACTCATCTCACCACACCATCTGCTCCAGCATTTCATAACAGCACGCTTCAAACTGGAGTTTTCCTTCTCTCTTTTCCAAACCAGTCATCCTAAACCTGTGTCACGACTGGAATCTGTCTCCAGATCCCTTTTCAGCACAGCTCCTGAGGAATACCATAATCACACTCAGCCTTTGGGCTGCAATGAGCCTTTTCTTCTGTGGGAGTAAAATCCTCTTGGCCATCCCTGGATTAAATCATGACTCAATTCCATGTTTTTAAGAGCAGGTACAAGGGGAAAATCTATTACACAGCAAACTGAATCCACCCTGTGCTTGTCCATTATCCTGTTAGTACCTTATATATCACTGAATTAATTTCAGTGCTATTTCCAAGCTGCAATTTGGGGGTTTCCTTGTGGATGTGAGGGGTTTATATCTGCACTGCTGTAGGTGAAGAGCCTTCTGCTGGCAGCAGGATATTCAGCAGCTGAGTGTCAGAGCCCACTTTATGTCTTCAGCTCCAAGTGCTGCAAGGAATTAACTCTGGTTTACTGTTTCTTTGCAGAATCCACCCAATCTGGTGAAAATCATGGATACAATGGGAGCAGACAGGTATGACTGGACCACTCTGGATGCTGAGGAGCCGCCAGCTGCAGTGCGGTACCCCCAGCGTGGAGGCAGCAAGCAGTGGGCACACCCCCACCATGATCCCTATGTCGATGCCTCCCTCACTTTGGGAACACAGCCAGGCTCTCCTCGATGTTCACAGGAGCAGAGAGGAGGCAGGAGGCTGGTCATGAAAAGGAAGGTGCTGAGGCACAGACCTGATGGCGGAATGGAGGTGTCCGATGAGTCAGTGCCCGGCGAGCCTGAGAGCGATCCCGAGGTTTGGAGCCCCAGGCAGGAATTGTCTGAGCCAGACGACAGCATCTCTGAGGGGGAGATTGAGACCAGCAGCAGCTCCCATGATGAATCTCTGTGCCAGTGGCTCCCTCTGGACAGCTCCCCCTCTCTCCTTGGGGATTTCGGGAGCAGGAGCTCTCCTGTTTCTCAGTACACAGCGGGACAACCCAAATCCTTCATCCCACCACGGCTAGAGCTGCTGGGACGGAATAGGGGGAAAACCGACCGAGTGGCCAAATACTTTGAGTATAAACGAGAATGGGAGAAGTTCCGGATCCCGGGAGAGGATCAGCGGCAGGAACTGCGCTGGAGCATCCGGGAGCAGATGCTCTGCAAGGCTGAGCTTCCCGGGAAGCCACAACACTTCTATGTCCCCAACACCTACACGGTGCCCACTGAGAAGAAGAGAGCTGCCCTGCGCTGGGAAGTGCGCTGGGACCTGGCCAACGGCCTCATGCCCAGGAAAGCCACCTCCACCTAGGCCCGCTCCATATAGATACCTCTGAACCACAACACACTGAATGCATTTTTCCCCTCAAAAACCTTGATAATTAGGTAAATCTCCCCTTTTTTTACGCATTTCTAGAGGGTTAAATCCTGGTATTAAAACTTCACCTGGCGCAGAGGGAAAAGCTTCCTCCTGAGTTCAGGTTCGGGGCATTAGGAATCAGGATGTAAGGATCTTTGGGATTTGAGTGCTCCTGGGTTCTCATGTGAGGTTTTATTTATGGCAATATCTCTAATAAAGTGTGTGGAAAGATTCCTTATTGTCCTGTGGGTTAATTAGAGATGCTTCCTCACCCCCTCAGCCTGTACCTGTTACTCCAGGCTCATCTTTGTGTCTCACTTAGCCCCACTTTACCTTGTTTTTAAAACACATTTTAGGGGGAATTAAACCCAACATTATCCTCATGATTTTCCTGGTTTCCCCCCCATATTTCCAGAAGTTTGGTGATTTGTGCAGTAGAGGTCCCCAAAACCTCAGGGGAACGGCTGGAGGAGGGCATGGGAAGGATTTGAAGCAGGTGACAATGGGAGCCCCATGTCGGGTCCCTAAAACCTGCTCTGGGGTGGGGGATGAAGGACACCCTGCTGTCACCCCACACTGAGGAGTTCTGGCACCCCGTGCTCCAGTGCCCTGTGGAACCCCCTGATGGAGGGATGTCTGTGCCCAGCACCCAAGGACCCCTTAAAGCCCTATGGGGGACACTGCAACCACCCTACAGGGTCCCTGCTCCTTTGGTACCCCAGGCACCCACCCAAAACCTCATGAGGAACAGCAACACCACTCCACAAGGCCCCTGCTCCTCCAGCACCCTAAGAACATCCCAAAACCCTGTGGGGAGCAGTGCTGGCACCCCATGTGGTCCCTGTCCCCCACCCTATGGGGTCCCTGCTCCTCCAGCACCCCAGGGAATCGCCCCCAAAATCCCGTGGACAGTGCTACCACCCTACATTGTCCCTGCTCCTCCAGCACCCCAGGGATCCCCAGAAAACCCCTGTGGGAGCAGTGCTGGCACCCTATAGGGTCCTTGTCCCCAGCACCCCAGGGACCCCTGCAACACCTTGCGGGGAACAGTGCCACCACCTTAAGGGGTCCCTGTCCCCAGTGCCCCATTTCCACCCCCTCCATGGGTCAGTCTGTGCCCCCCCATCACCCCAGGGACCTCCTGATGCCCTGGTAGGTCCCTGCTCCTCTCGCCCCGAACCCCATCCGCCCGGGGCCCACGTCCCCGGTCCTACCTGCGGTGCCGGTGCCCCGGAAGCGCCTGCCCCGTCCGGTTCCTCCCGCGCTCCTCCCGCCCGCCAGGGGGCGCGTCTCCCCGCGTCGGTGCCTCAGGAGCGGTGCCGGGCGGGCGCCATGGCGGAGGCTGGGGACAGCGGCGGCTGCGAGGCCGGGCTGGGCCGCGCCGGTCCCGCGGGGCTGCTGCCGCTTCCCTGCGTCTTCCCGCCGGGATCCACCGCCACTTCCCGGCACCTGCCCGCGCCCTGCACCCCGCAGCGCTGCCGGGACCCCTTCCTGCGGCGCCGCGGTGAGCGCTGGCCCCGGCCCCGGCCCCGGCCCCGCCTCGGGGAGGGCCCGGGCGGCACGCCCGCCTCAACCCCGCTTCTCCTCCCACAGCTGGACGAGGCGACGAGGAGGAGGATGAAGAGGAGGAGAGAGGTAAATGTCTGCAGCGGGGGGCAGAGACCGCCACCTCAGCGGTGTCGGGGTCCCCTTTTGCGGGGGGGGGGGGACAGCCCGAGCCCTGTGTGGCAGGGAAGGGGACAAGCTCGGTGTTAACAGTCGTGATTTGGGATCCTGGAGCCTTGCATGGGGTGGTTGTGGCCCAGATGCAGGACCCGGCGCTTTGCCTTGTTGAACCTCATCCCATCGGTCACAGCCAGTCCATCCAGCCTGTCCGGCTCCCTCTGCGGAGCCTCCTGCCCTCCAGCACATCAATGCTCCCAGCCAATTTGGTGTCATCTGCAGATGTACTGAGGGTGCTCTCCATCCCCTCATCAGTCAGTGATAACTCTAAACAACACTGGCCCTTTTAATGAATTCCTGCCTTTTCCAGTGGTGCCAGCCGAAACCTCGCTGCTGAACAAGCTGATCCGCACATCCCTGGTGGAGTCCTGCCACAACGTAGAGATCCTGCAGCGGGACCCCAGCTCCCCACTCTACTCCATCAAAAGCTTCGAGGAGCTGCCCCTGTGAGTGTGTGTGTGTGTGTGTGTGTGTGTCCCAGCAGGGTCACCAGCACTCCCCAAACTGACCGTTTCTGATGGGTTTTCTGATGTTTTCACAGGAAAAAGGAGCTTTTGCAGGGTATTTACATGATGGGCTTCAACAGACCATCCAAAATCCAGGAGACAGCTCTGCCGATGATGCTGGCGTACCCGTGAGTAGCAATGCCCTGTGGTGAACCCCATCTCCCTCGAGGCACCCCAACCCTCGCGCTCCTCTAAGCCATCTTTGCCTTGCAGGCCCCAAAATCTGATTGCCCAGAGCCAGTCAGGGACAGGGAAAACAGCAGCTTTTGTCTTGGCCATGCTGAGCAGAGTTAATGCCACCGAGAAATACCCGCAGGTAACGTAGGGAAAGGGAAAGCTGATGCAGGAGGGTTTGCCCAAGCCCTGAAATGCTGCCTGGGGGTAGATCCCAGGGGTTTGTCCCTGCTTCCATGTGATTTTATCCGCTGGAAGGGGATGATGAACCCACAGGTACCATTGCAGCAGCAGGTAGGACAGAAGGTGTGGTGCCTGCTGAAAGGAGGCACTTCTTGCCAGGCATTAGATAGCCTGGAATTTAAACTTGGAAAAGCAAATGGAGAAGCTTCTGGGTTTCTGGTGGTTTAAACACCCCCGTGATCCCTGATCTCCTCCCTGCGTGCAGAACCTGCTGTGCCAGCAGGTTGCTGCCATTTGGGACCACTCATCTCCAGTGTATGGGGTGATTTAAGCTGTTGCTTTAAAGCTGGGCATGGAAATGAGCTGCACCACCTTTCAGGAGAGCAGAATCTCCCCCTGAACGAGTTACAGTGATTCCTTTCTGTCTGTGTCCCTGTGGCAGGGCCATGTTCCCAGCTCCCTGACCTCAGATCTGATCAACTCCCAATCCCCCTGCACTTTCAAGGGTTGCAGTGTGGGATTTTCGTGTTTTCCCCTCGTGTCTGCCCGTTGTATCCCATCCTGGGAGTATCCTTGGCTTTTAAGCAAAGTATTTCTAGTCTGAGAGCTCTTTGTTTCCCCCCAAGTGCCTCTGCTTGGCTCCCACCTACGAGCTGGCGCTGCAGATCGGGTGCGTGATCGAGGGCATCGGGCGGTTTTGTGCTGACATCAGCGTGGCGTACGCGGTCCGGGGGAACAGAGGTGAGTCCTGCCTGGAGCCACCGGCACCATGGGAGCATTGGGACCCCCTCCTGGAGCTCCGAGATAGCTGAAAGAGAGACATGGTGTCATTTCCTCTCTGGCAGTCCTGCAGGGCACTGTGCTAAAGGAGCAGATCATCATCGGGACACCGGGAACGATGCTGGATTGGTGTTTCAAACAGAAGGTTGTGGACCTGAAGAAGATCACCCTCTTCGTGCTGGATGAAGCTGACATTATGATCGACACGCAGGGCCTCTCCAGTCAGAGCATCCGCATCCAGAGGTGGGTGTTCCTGATGGATTTAACCCTCTTTAAGGGAAGTGAGGGAGAATTCATCTCCCAGGATGAGCTGAAGCAGCAACAGAAGAGTGTCCCTGTGATGCGGAGGGGGTTTGCTGCTGTGAGATTGGTGTTTGTGTATGTGCTTTGCTTAGTCCAGGGATGTGGCTCTGTAAATCTGTGTCCATTGGACAGCCAGCAAGACTTTTGTCACAATTCCCTTTGCTTTGAGCCTTTACAGCAGCACAAAATCACCTTAAATTGCCTTTTCCCCTCCTTCTGATGAGCCCATCCAGGTGCCAGGCTGACAAGTCCTTCTCCTTCTCCCCAGGGTTCTCCCCAAGAGCTGCCAGATGCTGCTGTTCTCGGCCACCTTCAAGTCAACCGTGCGGGAGTTTGCTGAGAAAATCGTCTCCAACCCCATCATGATAACGCTGCGGGAGGACGAGCTCACCCTCAGCAACATCCGGCAGTACTTCTTTGTGTGCAGGAGCAGGGAGGAGAAGTACGAAGCTCTCTGCAACATCTATGGCAGCATCACCATCGGACAGGCCATGATCTTCTGCCAGGTAAAGCCCCTTGGAGCACGGGGAGGTCCATGTGTGACGTGGAAACACACTGCATGTCCCTGCCCTCAAAGTGTGTCCTCACGGAGGCTTTGAGCTTGTCCACATCATGTTTTTTTTGAGGTGTTGGGAAGCACAAGGAGCTCCCTGGAAGGAGCAGGGGACTTGGGATAGGGGAATATCAGTGGAATGTCTTCTGGGAGCGATGGAATGCTGGCAAAGCCACAGCAGCACCTCATCCTGCGTCATCCTGCCTCTCCCAGACACGGAGGAGTGCCGACTGGCTGGCAGTGGCCATGACCCACGATGGACACCAGGTTGCCATCCTGACAGCAGAGCTGACGGTTGCCCATCGTGCCAACGTCATCCAGCGCTTCCGCAGCGGGAAGGAGAAGGTCCTCATTGCCACTAATGTCTGCGCCAGAGGTACACCAAATCCCAGCGCCCTTCACCTCACCTCTGGTTCTTGATCCCACAGGGTGAGGTGATCCCTCCTTCTGTCTCCCTCTTCCAGGCATCGACGTGCAGCAGGTCACCATTGTGGTGAACTTCAGCCTCCCCACCAACCTGCAGGGAGAGCCTGACTTCGAGACCTACCTCCACCGCATCGGGCGCACGGGGCGCTTCGGGAAGAGCGGCATCGCCTTCAGCATGGTGGAGAGCCAGGACGTGGCACTCGTGGAGATGATAGAGAAGCATTTCCGTGAGTATCCGTCCATATCCACCTCTCCTGGGGTGGTTTGGGGATTGGGATCCCCCCTCCAGCCTGTTTCCCAGCTCACATGGACCTTGCTGGGCTGCCCCTTTAGCCCATCACTCTTCTAGGGTTGGGATTTTTCCTCCCTTGCAGCAACATTTCCAGACAACCAGCCAAGGAACTTGTGTGTGTGACTTGAGAGGGATATTTCACATACCCAGGATGCCTCACATCGCTTCTTTTTCCTCCTTCAGGCATTTTATCTGCCCTTACCTGGCAAAACCACATCCCAGGGATGTGGTGTCCATGCTGCAGTATTGAAGCTGGCAGCTGAAATGGTGCCTGAGTGTTTCCTGAGTGGAAATAGATTCCACTTGGGAATATCAAGGGGGTTTTTCATGGCATGTGCAAAATCCTGTGGCTGCACTGGTGGCTTTTCAAGTCCTGGTGTGTTTTCCCTGTGATTTTTATGGAAAAGCAGGTTATCAAAACCTTTCGGTGTGTGGAAAACCACGTCCCTTCCTCAGTGCTGCCCAGCAGCTTGTCCTTTAAATCCAAACCCCGAAGGAGCCCGTGGCAGAGCCTGGCAGGGCACACGTGAGCCAGATACTCCGGCAAAGGCTTTTCCAAGCAGCAGAAGCACTGGATAACTGCAGCTGGAATACTGAGGAGGCCTAGTCCAACCATGGAATTGGCCAGAGGAGCCCAGCAGGGGATGGAAATCCAAGTGGATGAGCTCCTGCCTGCATTTTTGACGTCGTGACTTGAGGCTGGGGCTGCCAAACAAGGACAACGACCCTCTTCCCATCCGGCATCGCCTCGGAGGTGGGAGCAGAGCCTCAAACCTCACCTGAGCTGCTGCCTTTTGCTTGGGCTGCCTCTCGCTTCTGCAGCAGCCACCCTTGATCTGCACCATGGAATTCCCAGCGGCGGGAGCTTCCCAGCCCGCGGTGCATGCAGGCAGTGTGAATGCCAGCTCCTGCCCTCGCTGGGTCCCGTTTTCCCAAGCTCTGACACACTTTGTTTCTGTTTTCCCTTCCTATAGAGACCAAGATCAAGCAGCTGGACCCGGGCGACATGGATGAGATTGAGAAGCTGGAAAACTGAGTGAGGAAAACTCGCCAGATCCTAGTTTTGGTTCCGAACAAGGCAAAGTTGCTGGGAAAACAGTTCCCCAGTTCTCTTGGAACTCCCTGAAGTTGTTTGATTTTGTTGTGATGCTTGAGAAGACAGTGCAGTTACAGCCAGTGTTGTCCTTGGTTTTGTTCCTTGGTGTAGCTCTGAGGTTCTCACAGCTGGCACTTGGTGGATATGATCCCCTGAGGATCTCAGCACTGGATGATGCTCCTCAAAACCGGGTTTAGAGGGCAGGGAAGCGGCAAACTCCAGTTTTCCACTGGAAGCTGCGTTCTGCATCGGAGCAAGGGGGTTCCACCAAGGTGGGTGGTGTGGTTGACACAGTGGAGGGAAGGGATGGGATGCAGAAGGACTTGGGCAGGCTAGAGGGGTGGGAATGTGTGAACCTGATGATGTTCAACAAGGCAAAGTGCAAGGTCCTGTCCCTGTGCAGGGTAATTCCCAGCACACCCACGGGCTGAGGGAGACTGGATTGAGCAGCCTGAGGAGAAGGACTTGGGGTGTTGGGTGAGGAGAAGCTCCCCATGACCCAGCTTCAGTGTGTGCTTGAGCCCAGAGCCCCCCATATGCTGGGTTGCACCCCCAGAGTGTGAGCAGCAGCTCAGAGAGGGGATCCTGACCCTCTGCTGCTCTCTGGGGAGAATACCCCTTCAGTCCTGATCCAGCTCTGGGGCAACAGCACGAGAGGGACATGAGCTGTTGGAGTGAGGCCAGAGGAGGCCATGGAGATGCTGCGAGGGCTGGAGCAGCTCTGCTCTGGAGCCAGGCTGAGAGAGCTGGGCTGGGTCAGCCTGGAGAAGAGAAGGCTCCTGAAGGGGAGACCTGAGAGCAGCTCCAGTGCCTGAAGGGGCTGCAGGAAACCTGGAGAGGGGGTTTGGACAAGGGATGTAGGGACAGGCCAAGGGGAATGGCTTTAACCTGCCAGAGGGGAGACTGAGATGAGCTCTTAGGCAGAAGCTCTTCCCTGTGAGGGTGCTGAGGCGCTGGCACAGGGTGCCCAGAGAAGCTGTGGCTGCCCCATCCCTGGCAGTGTTCAAGGCCAGGTTGGACACAGGGGCTTGGAAATGGACAAGCTTTAAGGTCCCTTCCAACACAAACCGTCCATGATTCTCTTTGCTGGATGGTCGGGCCCAAAGCGTGGTGGTGAACGGAGTTAATTTCGGTTGGTGGCCAGTCACTCGTGGTGTTCTCCAGGGCTCAGCTGGGGTCGGTTCCAACCTGAACGATTTAATGGTTCTGTGAACCAGCCCAGAAGAAATTCCTTCAAGCCCAACACTTGCCCCTAGATGGCAGCAGGAATCTGCCGCCGCCATCCCCATTAAATCTAATTCCCAGGCCTCATCCCACACCAGCACCAGAATGTATATATGAATACCAACGTTAGGGATGGGGCGTAGCGGGTTCCTGTGTCTCCCAAAATCCTCCCGTGGGATGCTCCAGCCCTCCAGCATTGCATTACAGTGATGAATGTTTGATGGGCTGGGGCGCGCTGGACAGCAGGAGATGTAATATCAAACCCTGCTCACTGCCTGGCGCCGGCTTCCCCAGCTCCAAACCCCGTGGTTTTGATCAAGAAGGAGCAAAAAGCGGGTTTCCTTCTCCTTTATCCAATAACACATTAGGGAGATGGGGTAGGGATAAGTTTTCCCTGCAGGGGAAAGGGGCTTTGCTGCCATTCCTGCAGCGAGCGCTCCCGTCCTCAGCCTGAGATTGCAGCGGTGGGTCCCCCCCTGCCCGTGCCCAGGCTGGGTATCAATAATTAACAGTTAATCAGGGCTGGGCCTAATTACCCCCGAGTAACAGGAGAGGAGGTCGGGGTGGAGAGCGCAGCCCTGCTTCGGCATCGGACATGGCGCCATGGAGCGCCACCATGCACCATGGATGGGTCCCTGGATCCTGTGCTTGCTGCCGGCGTTGGTGGGGGGTGAGTAGCCAACCCCCCCCCCCCCCCCTCCCCAATCCCCCCCCATATCCATGTGGGGCAGAGCCAGGCTGACTCTGATGAGTGCATCCCAGGGCAGCCGCTGTCTGCGGGCGAGGCGGCCTACGAGGAGCAGATGGTGACGGGGGTGCGGGGCCGGGCGGTGGAGCTGAGCTGTGGGCCCCCAGCACGGGCACCGCCAGCCGTGGTCTTCTGGAGCTTCGTGGCGGGGGGCACGGGGCCGCCGCGGGCCGTGGCCGTGGGCTCAGGCCAGGACGTGGTGCTGGCCCCTGGCACGGGTGCGCTGGGCCGGGTGTCGCTGCGCAATGGGACCCTGGAGCTGCGGGAGCTGCGAGCGGGCGCCCGTGGCCGCTTCCTGTGCCAGGGGCTGTTCCCGGAGCACGGCCGGCTCCGTGTGGGGTACGGCGCCGTCCTGCTGCGTGTCCTGGGTAAGGCACGGGGCTGCGGGTGCCGCGGGGCATGGCTGGGGTGATGGAGCACAAGCACGGTGCTTGGGGTGATGGAGCACACGGGATAGTGGGGTCTGCCACTGCCAGCATAGAGCCCCACGTGCCAATATAGATTCCCACTAGCCAGCACAGCACCCCACTAGCCAAGTACCCAACTAGCCAATGTAGCCCCCCACTAGCCATCCCCACCTCCTTGCCCTGGCCAACCCATCATTGGTCCAACCTGTAACTGCCCTCATTAGAACACAAATGGACACCCAGCCATGCCTATTCCCAGCACATCTCAATAGCCCATGGATGCTATCTCCAGCCTCCCCAGTAGCCACTACTGCACCTCACCAGCCAATTCACCACCCGGAAGGCTCACCTCTGGGTGGGACAGGGGAGATGTGGGAGTGCAGGGGGGCCACTCACTGCTCGGTGTCCACAGTGCCCGTGTCCAAGCCCTTTGTACGGCCGACGGCGGCAGCGGCAGCAGAGGGGACTCCGGTGACCCTGATGTGTGCTGTGCGGGAGGGGACGGAGCCGCTCAGCTTCTCCTGGCAGCACCGGCAGCCACGGGGGGGGCCTCCTGTGTCCCCTGTGGGGCTGGGGGGCTCTGGGGCAGAGCTGAGCCTGGCACCCACCAACCGCAGCCATGCCGGGTGGTACATCTGCACCGCGCGCAACGAGGTCAACAACCGCACCAGCGAGCCTGTCTACCTGGACATCGTCTGTGAGTGGTGCGGCGTGGCACGGGCATGACCATGGTGCACCCATGGCATGTCCACGGCCATAAGCACCCTGCCACTGGGATGCCTCCGTGGCCACTGCGATATGGCCATGGCCAACAAGCATGCTGCCACCATGACACATCCATGGCCACCCCGCCACCGAGATGTGCCTATGGCCACCATGCACCTTGCTACCATGGTACCTCCATGGCCACCACGCCAGCACAGTGTCCTATGCCCACATAGTGCCCCATGGCCACCACACACACCAGTGTGCTCACCATCTCTCAGGATGTCCCATTGGTGTCCTGGGGTGGGCTGTGACCCTGCTCAAGCACCCGTGTCCCCACAGACGGCCCCGACGAGCCGGCCATCAGCGTGGAGCCCTTCAGCCCGGAGCAGGGCGGCTTCTCCGCAGGCGAGCGCGAGGACGTGGTGCTGAGCTGCCTGGCTCCATCTAACCCGCCCAGCCGCTACGTCTGGCTCCACAACGGCTCCCAGGTCCACGTTGGCCAGACCTACGTCCTTGCTGCCATCACCCGCACCCAGGCCGGCACCTACACCTGCCTGGCTGAGAACACCCATCTCCAAACCCGCACCCAGGCCACCATCGTCCTCACTGTTTACTGTAAGTAACCCCCAGAGGGGAGAGACGGACCAACGCGGCTTCCCTGGTGAGGATGTGGGTGCAAGGGGTGATTTGGGGCTGGAGGGACATGATGTGGCTCCCCCCAGCACCGGTGGTCTCCCGCAGATCCACCAGCCGGGAGCCCAAGCTGCTCTGCACTGGCCACCGGGGACGTGCAGGACGTGGCACTGCGGTGCCGTTGGCTGGGGGGGTTCCCCCCGGCACGGCTGCGCTGGGTGGGCCCCGAGGAGGAGGAGGAAGAAGAGCAGGGGGTGATGGGGAGCAGCTTTTCCATGGCCACCAGCATCCAGCCGGGGTCGGCCACCAGGAATGGCAGCTCCTTCTCCTGCCTGGCCTCGCACCCTGCCCTGCCGCAGGGGGCTGCCTGCGGGACCACCCTGTGTGAGTGCCCCCACAGATCCTTCCTGTCCCCCCCCCTCCCCGGCATCACAAAGCCATGGTGAGCCCTGCGATAGTGGGACGTGGCACACCAAGGCCATGCTGGCACCTCCTGCTCCACAATAGAGGTCCCACAGCCCAGAGCCCCCCAAGCTTTGGAGGGGGTCTCTTTTGGGGGGCACAGATCACAGTCCCCATCCCAACACCTCTTCCTTTTGCAGGGATCCCGGCTGGCGGCCCCTCCTGCACGGCAGCAGCCACCAAGGGGGATGAGTTTGTGATGCTGCGGTGCCAGTGGGAGGGGGGGACACCCCCTGTCACCCTGTGCTGGTGGGATGGCGCGGGACAGGCGCTAGGTGACCCCACACCCACCACCACCGTTGTGGTGCTGAGCACCAGCAGCAGGCTGGGGGGGCAGGATTACATCTGCGTGGCCACACACCCGCTACAGGCCACTGGCACCGAGTGCCGCCTGCGCCTTGGTAAGCCAAGAGCCATCCCTGGGTGCCCCTGTCAGCAGCTGGGTGCCACATCCCTGCTGGTGCCATCCCATCTTACCACCGAGCAGAGGTCCCCGAGCTGGAGGTGGCAAGGAGCGAGGTGGTGGTGCTGGAGGGCGGTGCGGCACGGTTGGCATGCCGGCAACGCAGCACTGGCACCAACCTGGGTGCCAGCATGGCTTGGTATGACCCGAAGGAGCAGGAGGTGACAGCGGGGTTGGCCAAGTACCACTTGGAGCACGGAGAAGCGTGGCTCAACCTCACCATCCACGATGTGGAGTGGCCGGGGGACAGCGGGATCTACCGCTGCACCGCAGCCAACGCCGTGGGCACCGCCAGCCTCCCCGTGCACCTCCATGTGGAACGTGAGCCCTGGGACACAATGGGTGGGTTTTGGGGGGGGGGTCAACCCCGTTCTAAGGGGTGCTGTGTCCCCGCAGGGTACCCGGCCCCCCCCAACGTCACCATCAGCAGGCTGC